TTACCACTGAAGTTCGAAAGGTGTATGTTATTTCACAATTACTTCAGGTAAGCGTTTACAACACTTATTGGAATGAGTAAACTTCAAAGAAGTTCACCTATTGAAATGCTTCATTCCTTCTTCTGTCTCATTCATCGGAACAAATTTTAACATATGATGGGAAGAATTATCAGGCATCCTGGCCACGTCATGCATCAGATTGTGGTACGAAAACATTCCAATTCACCTATTCATTCATGAGGTACTTTGAAGACGGAATAGATTTGCTGATTTCCAAGATGTTTTCGATTCATACACGAGAGGTAATCTCAAAAATGTAAACCCTCTGGAATCAGAGGTTTCATTCATACACACAAATATTCATGGGAAGTGCATATGCGTGCAATTAACGACACTTTGATGCAGTATCTCTGTTGACTTGACGAAGCTGTGAATAGGGCTCCAAGGTACACCTAAGCACAGAATTCATCCTTTCAGCAGTGTGAACAGATGCGCATAGAGTGCCTGAGAACAAGAAAGTGTTTGTGTTTGTAGGAAAACTCAACTTGAATAAACAGTATGTTAGTTGACTCATTATTTATAAAATACAATATGTGGTCGCAAACAGTGGTCAGGTCACCGTTTAATTTGGCAATCAGAAAGTAGCTTGAAGTGAGGCGACAAGTTTGATTTTCAAAAGGAATGTATCGGACTGTAATATATGTTTATATATAAATTTCCAGATGTCACAGATGGGCTACCTTTTTGTTTGCGGTATTTTCGAGCTTCAGTCAAATAATGATCAGGTTTTTCGAGACACGCATTTGTAAAATTCTTATTTGATTTAGTCGTGCCTCAGTAACCGTTCTCTCACTATTTTACAATTTGAATTCAGTGGTCTTGACTAATGAGTTAACATGTGTTTCAAAATGGTTATGAAATCAACGCAGCTACTAAATAATGGATAATATTCTTAAAAGACTGGTACTAAATTAAACCTGAAAACTACCTGAAATATCCCAGAATCTTTGTCAACAAAATAAACATTAGCTTGAGAAGACAGACTGTGTTGTTACCCAGAAGATTAGATGTATATAAGCGACATGAAGTGGAGGCTTATTTGGAAACTGTTAGTATGCAAGTCTGACAGGGGTTGGTCTGCCATGAAAACCTTGATAAACAATTGTACTCAAGTTGTACGAATATTGAGACATAACTTTGTTTCCCTTAACAGAATCTCACTAAAATATGGAGAAATTTGTTGAGAAAATTTACGGGTTAATGTCACTGATTCCTTGGGGCCAGAATGTACAAAAATCCAAGTGGTTAACTTACATTCCATGGACTTTCTGCATTTCTGTTAAGATAATGCTTATCGGTCATCCATATACATAAAATAAGGAAGATCAGAAAAGTTACGAGAAACAGGAATAACAGCGCAAATAAGTAAAAAGTGTTCAAAGAACATGAAAGTGTATTACAGTTGAATCAAACATTTTCAGATTTAGAAGCATCTCAAATATCCGTTATGAACGGGATCAGCCGTCACTGAATTCGTTATATTTTCATGAATTTGGAAGAAGAAGCCAAGAATATGGGGCTGTGCAGTATGTAGAATGAAATCAACTAATATTTCTCCTGGCTCTGTTTATTTCAATCTGAATGAGGAATTGATGACCATCACTGGAATGTTTACATCATTGGAAGCCTGTGAGCATCAGTGAGCATTGAGACGACAAGGCTAGATGGTCACTTTTATTTAACAAACTACAGAACTGCCGATTCGCGTTGAAGAACACAAATTGCTTGAGTAACTTTGTCCTGTGAAAGTGAACAGCAATTACACTCATACTATTGAAACACTCCATAATCACAACGTGTCTTGACAGCCCATCATCATTTGGCCATTAAACAAACATTAGTCACACAGTTATTCCGAATGACATAAACTATAATGGGAAAAGATAAATTGTGAGAACAAAAAGCGTGTTGTTATGGTGGGTAAGATAGACGTTCGGCATCAGACAAGATAACTCTAGCCAGCTGCCTGCAAGAACTGACATGTCTACCGACAACATTGTCAGCTGTTTTGATCAAAGACACACCAATAACCATACTTGCAATGTTCTATGTGATATAATAAAGTATTTTCCGAGAATACCAGCGTGGAATAAGCGCCACCAACAAGAAATAATGCTCAGAATACATGAGTTGATTAATTGTAAGAGAAGAGGTTGAGTTATTCCTTAAATTTCTTTCTGAGATATCAACAGGATATAAAAACTATTCAGATAGGAACAATTCAATGCAGAGGTCACTGGCAGGGGAACAGTTAGATAGTCGGCATATTTAATAAAGTTAGCTAAAGTAAGTTAGAAAAGAATATATAGAGGGGTTATGCACAGGGAAATAAAAGCTGAGTAGAAGCGAGTACAGCGCCCTGAACCCTGGCGGCCTGTTTGACACTTAGTCTAAATTTCATTTACTAGAAATTGTCACATGGCTCTTTAGGCTTTAAATGTCAAGAAATTCTTACATCTTATTCACGTGTTAATTAAGTTTCGGTTTGTGTAACAATGGTTTTCCTCTTCATTTTGTCAATTTTAAAGGCGAATCATCTAAGTTAGAAGGCATAAAGATATTGCTTATAGATACTGAAGGTAAGAGGACTGATTTCATATGGATATATAATTCTTCTTGAATTAACCTAAAGAAGCTTTTGTGTTCTTTGATGTTTTGTTACATCATGTCTCTTGTAAAATCCCTCCAATTGTAAATTGTTTGAAATAAGTCTCGCTTTCTTTCCCATAACTGAACTACCCAATTTAGCTATTTCGATTCGCAACAATGAAGAAGAAACTACAAAACTAGAAAGTAAGCAATAATTTCATGTGATTGATAATTTGCCTAGGTCTAGTCGATTTAGTTGTTCGAATGAAATATTTGTTATACTTTCAGGAGATTTTCCGCACAGGCCATTAAGTGGAAATGCTTCGACTATAAGTATTGTTATTACGTGTAGCCAGCTGACATGACACTCATTCAAGTGAAGATGTTAGCACGCATCTACCTGACTCCTCATTCCCTTCGCATCCATTCAGATTTGCTCCAGTAAGAAATGTTACACGTTCATGATCATGACATTCTCTCTGTTGTAGAATGAATACACTACGGTGTGGGCATGCTCCAATAATAGCCAATCGACTCATTATTTTCATCATAATAAATGTTGAAGTTCTAACCAGGGTCCAGTGTCATGCAATGACTCTACTCACTTCTCTCTCTTTCTTTAGATAGGCTTATTAAAGCAATTAGAGAAACCGGCAGCCGTATCCTTGAGAAATGTGAGTGATGATTTTATGAATTTCTTCGACTAACAATCTCTTTCAGTTGTCAGCTGTTGCAGAAACGTTTTTGAAAGCTACTCCGGAAACGAATTATTCCACTGTGTGTTCCAAGATTTATTTCAACTATACATACTGCTTTCATTTACATGGTTGTCAGATGAATTTAGGTAATAATCTTGTGTTAGATAATGAAGGTCAACGATGTTGCAGCTAGAACAATTCAGTGAGATCCTACAACTATGAAACCACACTGTCAGACTTGAAAAAATTATCTCATCTAATGAGATTACTCACTAATTTAGTGTGTGTAGAGCAAAGTGATTCATTGAAGTTCTTGAAGGGGATATATGTTCATGGATTTTCACTGCTTTCTTCGAGATGTCATCAACTTGCTTGAATATACAACTCAGTTTAACGCACATATTATGTCATCATTCACTTTGGAAACCCATGTTCAAAACTCTAAAGTCAAGCATCAATTAAGAAGGTTAAGACACTGAATTCGATCATCAGGCAAATGACGTCGGCTCGACATTCCGAATTACTGGAAAGTAACCTGGAGTAATGGTCAGCTTGCTGTTTACTCATAGCTCAGGACTCATTGAGTGTGCACGCATTAACGCACCTGTCAGTGGTCGGAACAAGGACCTTCAGATGATGATTCCGGTCAGTGATTGATTACAAGATGAAGATGACTAGAGTTCTAGTGACAACTCTACACGAATGGTTTGCACCTGATAGGATGTGGGGACATATACTGGCCCACGACATTACCTGGTGGTCCACGATACACTTTCGAAGTGATACATGCTAGAATTCAATGGCCATTGCATAACGGCCTATATTGGTTGAGTGGCTAACGAGCATGTTCTCATCACCTGCATGTCTTTGGTTCAATTTCCAGTGGTGTTATGGCAGCACACTGAATAATAGTCCCCAACCAGGAAGGAGCAGCTGTTGCCGTGCTCCTCTAGCTTATATCAAAACATGATCAAACTTGAAGCAAATCAAGTCCATGCAGAATCACTCTTGAATATTCTATGGTAATTTCAGCCTCTCGAAACTTCCTCCCAAATACGATACATGGCTTTTCAACATGTTATGTGGGTGATGTTCTGCGTGTCCTGAGGATATGCGCACAGGCCTTCTTTGTTTTTATTTCGCATAATGTTGTCAGTGTTTGTAAACGCTTCATAGAAGAGGGTAGGAGGATTACAAGCATACAATTTTCTGCTTACCAAGATCATATCCCATCTCAGATGTTGGCAAATTTTCCCCTGATTTCTTCAACAATATTTCTTTGGCTGAAAAAGCCTAATTAAATTGTAACTTTTTCTGTTACAGTGAAATTTATTACACGATTACTTAAGTGAAATATCCTGTGTTAATTGCAAATCAAATTCTTAGAAATCTCATGCGTGGTAATATTTTCGATGTAGTTATACAAGCATACAGGTAATTACAAGCAATTGTTATTGTGTCCTTAAATTTCTGCTGTGAATTCCACGTGAGAATTTCAAGCAGTACCATAAAATGCATCAATATTAGATGTTGAGAAGTGCATCCTATTTCGCACACACTCTCTCACCCTCTGTTTCTCCCTCTTTCTCACATTCACTGGCTACCTGTAGGATATAAATAACGCAGCGATATTTTGTCCTCTGGTGTTTAATTCAACATCGTTGAACAAGAATAACATGACTGAGAAACACTGTCTGATACTGACGTTTGTTTGGACGTTGTTTCAATGTGAGTGATTATCAGTGGTTTCACGTAAATTTATAATATATACTGTTCCACATTTTTATATGATTATTATGTTCCGTGTTTGTTCAAGGGTGACACTCTGATGTTTCTATCCAATTCCCACGAGACCTATTTGATTGTTCTGCCTTCCCCTTTGTTTTCTTTTGACTTGGTCGAACAATAAACATGATCGTTTTCAATAACACTGAATCACTGATGTCGATGGTACGGTTTCTAAGAATCTTGCACAACATGCATATGGTCCGTGGCTCCATCTTCCGCCGACGCACACCTGATATCTATGGTCGGTCTGCGAAATTTGGGCTACTGATATCACATGTTGAAAATTCCACACTTGTACTAAAGATTACTGTGTGGTTTCAGGATCGAAAACAAATTACAGTGGGAGGGAATCTGTGGTGATATTAGTCTGCACCGCGAAGTTCCGACAAGACCAGTTGTGTGTAATGAAAGAAATTACTACGCTGACCACCGTATCTGATTGCTCGTTGTTCTAGAAACTGAATTTGTCAAGCTTTCAGACGCCTACTAGTATGGGTAAATAAATCTGTATTGAGAACACTTCAATATGAGACCACCTCGTCCAAACACGACATACAGCTAACGTAGACGAGTTTCCTTCTGTGATCTGTCAGGTAGAAGGTAAGTTGCCAAATGCCTCTAAGATACCAAATACTTCAAACAGAAGACGCTATTACAGTATACCTGATTCAACTGGGGCTATATGTGCTGAAGAAACTGCCCTATGAGCAGTATTGATCCGAATTCATTGTAATGGTAATAATGGCATTATTAACAGTAATATTTTATATCCAATCTCATTAATATTTCCCGCCATCGAGTAGTTAGTTTGGCTCAGCTCATCTGTAATCCGTTCTGAAGATTCAGTTGTTTCTGTAGCCATCTATTACTTGCAGTGACCTATGCGTCCTCCATCGATGTATGTGTCTACCCGTACATTTAAAATGGTAATTATGAAGGGATGTTACATTACCTTTCGCATGTTCTAGGTGCTTAGATAGATAGACCAGATTGATATTCTAGACTATTGTGATCTCAGCTGCGTACAAACTCTACTCATGGTAGTGTTCAATCATTGTCAACTGAACAATCTGCTGTGATCACCCATATAGATCAGCTTGGTTTATACTTGCTTCTTCATGTTGAGTTGGAAAGTGAGCCGTGATGTTCTGACTAACTTATTATTTTTTAGAGTTTGCGACAGTATTCTTTCCTCAACAGCAAGTGTCTATTGTGTGCATGTTTGTTGGATAAACAGTTATCTTACTTACACGAGCCATTCCTATATTGAGTCATTCTTATAACCGCATCACAGCTGCTGCCTCTTTCTTCTAATTTCCGATTAGTCACTCCTCCTGACATTATGCATTACACTTTCGAGGACAAATGTCATCAGTATATGTTTGGTCTCATGAATTCTGTGTTAAATACAATTGTGATTGTTCAGCTCATGAAAATGAATCGTTGACAGGAAACATCTCTTCGTCGAATACGCCTCTTGCTTAATTATCTTTCTCTTCTATAGACGCAAACTACATGACTCTCTGAACTTCATTCATTCGATTTAATATTGAAATAGCGAAACAAATATAATCATTTGTGATTACAGTTTTGTCAAATTATCTTCCATGAAGTGGCACATTTACAGTTGAATTTTTTGATAATCTCTTAATTTACGATATATCGATTTCTGCTGAAAAGCGCGCAAACCGACTTCACATAGCATAACCAACAACCTGATGCAGGCAACTGCTCTCAAATTTGAAACAAACATTGCTAGTATATAGCAGTATTAATTCATTTAAATAAAATGGAATACAGGGAACAGAATTAGAAAATTATGTGTAGAAATGTATTCTTCAAACTAAACGTCAAGTATTTGTTTTCATAAAACAACACTAGTGAATATAGAGTTCACATGAAAATAATGCACACATTTACTAATGAAATTATTACCATTAAGTAAGTAATCTGTTCACATGCATCTTTTACCACATACGTGCAGAATAGCCTGACAACATTCCCAGCAGACATTGAGCATCTTTATGGGTTGGTGATCTGTTCATTGATAATATAGGAGGTAGAGGATAACTGGGTTTATGTGTTTTCAATAAACCATACATATATGAGAATTTGCATTCTGTTGGTTCTACACAGTCAAATGTATCATTTTCAATATCATATAGACCCAGACGTTTCACGAGATTAGCTGACAGTGTACCTTGCAATAATGGAATACTTCACGAATAATGATCTTGGCTAAATTTATATTCATCATCAAGAATAGATAACATTTTCGGTTTGTGATCACTTTCGTTGATGATGGCGACTTTATAACCTATATCGGTTTTCATAACTTGGATATCAGGGCTCTTAAATAACTCTCCTTACAAGGCTTCGAAACGCTGAGAAGTGAAAATTATTTTCTATTTCGGATTGTTGTTTGGAAACTGAAGAGCTATATGCACTCTATTGGCTCCAGACCAACCTCGAACTTCATCGGCTGTTACGAGAAGAGGTGTTTTTTGAAATCTGCATGATGGCTCAATCCGTAAACTGCATACGAGGAACATGAAACTCAGCCCCATGAGATAATTTGTTTGTTTCTGATGAGTTAATAGCTCTATATTATTATCGATGCATATAACTGTCGAACCTGGAGGAAAGGGAGTTTTGGAAAGGAATATGCTTTACTAGTGTTCATTATATGATCATTGAACAGACGTTGATCTGAACACCTGCAATTCAGTAATTTTGCCGTCGTTTTTTTGTCTTGCAGTGGTTTACGTCCTGTGCAATGGAATATCTCCGACTGAAAGAAGTAAGTCGTGCTAACATTGTAGTGTAGATGACTTGAATTTATTTTCCACTACATCGAGTTGTTCCGGTGAAGGTTGCTTAATGATTAACTTTTGTGCATGTATCGAAGTTGGCGAATTACCATCCTCGAATGTATCTTTACAACCACAAGCGTGCAGGCATGAAATCCTAATGATTGGCGATTGGTCAAGGTGTAACAGGTTATCCAATGGAGTTGTTTGATTTCCACCGTGAAAGGGAAGTCTAGATTTCAGCAGAAAACACTGCCAACTATTTGGCTATGCACTCGAAATATTGATTCCAGTTTTAGCCACTTTCTATCAACCTACATCATACTACATACACTAATGCTGTTTGATATTCTAGATCCAATTCAATACCTTTCAAGTGATGTAGACACCAAGGAATAGAATTCAGTCTCTCGCAATGGCAGATATCACGTAGTCATTATGAGTGCTGCTACCCACCTTCAAGTTCCAAAATATTTCTACATCTCAATTTGTCATACAAAGATGATGTAGGCCAGATTCACACCAGAATACTTCATGAAACAGCGTTGTAAGTGAGAATCTGACGAGCAAATCGGAAATCTTCCACACTCAGCACAATGAACAGAGATTTGATTGTCAACACCGATGTTAAGTCAGTTCTTCTACATGGTTCACTCACTTGGCATGTCATTCTCCGGAAGCATTTGCAACAGATTACTGGAGACCTCTATCAAACGCGTGAGACAGCAATGCGTAGTGAAGATCAGACTGGCAACTAGAAATGATAAGCTGCAAGAATTTCTGAGGACAGAGCAATCTGCCACCCTGATGCTCAACAAATATTCTGAAGGAAGTGGAACTAGTTTGGACATGAACTGAGGACAAAGTCGAGTGGCATTCCACTGCATGCGCTGTAGTGTAGCCTTCCCAGAAGACAACGACTGTCACATCAGAAGGTGGTATGGAGTAGATCGTGAGAGGATGAAACGAAAGTCTTTGAACAATTGTCGAGTCAGTAGCAAACTACTGCAGAAAATGGGACAGAATGAGGATGGTCTGTTGAAGCACCGCGCTCACCTAAGAACCCAACGGAATAATAATAAATTAATATCACGCAGAGCGTATTACACAACAAAAGGGGTGGAGATAAAATAGACTCTGAGTGCATGTTGATGAAAAAGGTTGGACTAAAGACTTTTGAACAGGGTGTGTCAGCTCTTCCTTCGACTGAATGAAGACGATGTGAGCAAAATCCACCCAAACAGCCCAAAGTTAATTGTAAACACTTTTCTGAGAGAAGTATTAGCTGATTCTGTTTGAACGGAAGTATCAACGACCTCCATAGTTGTCCAGTTGACCAACCCGTGTTCTCTTTTCGAAATCCACACTCATCAATATTGTCATGTCTTAAACACTTCCACATTTCAGCTACAGCTCGCAAATGACCAGTTGACGTCTTGGTTTCTCTGCTGACAAGTAGTTCAACTGTCTAACTGTTCACTAATATTATCGAGAGAGAAAAGGAGACCAGGGTATTACCAGTATTCATATTTTGGCAACTGAAAATACTATCTTCAACTTTCCCCACTTTGTGCTTACTTCTTTTGTGCATCCTAGTTAAATTCAACACGCTGATCAAAAATTACAGCAAGCTCTATGGCCGTTACAAAACTGCTGAATGTGAGTGAAGTTACTTCTGACAAGATCACGTGTTGGTTTGTACCCATTTGTTTGATTTCAAGTTAGGTTTCAGATTGATGTCGTTCGAAGAAGCATTGAACGGTCCGCGGAGTGATGGACACCGAATTCATCCTCCTTTGACAGTACTGACCAGCACAGACCTCACAACCGCACATGTGTTCAACGGAAGGTCTACATGATTACAGGAGATCTCATTGATAATACACACATTGACACAGTATCCAATACCTAGCCTTTAAACTCTAACCTCTGCTTATTTGCTTTAAATAACATCACCACTAGATTCCTGGTGTTTGAAGTCATGGGTTCACAGTAGTTAACAGTCTGAAAACAAGGTTGAAGTAACCGTGACTGGTTTGCAATGGTCGTCTAGTTGACATCAATAATTACGTGATCAGACCTGAAGTGATTCCAATCCCCTTAGTATTTCAGACTTTGTGCTGAATCGGTTCTTACATCATATGCACATAATCTTCACATCTCACCAACACATGTTCATTATTCTTTTCGTTAACTTCATGTAATTATGACTGAATTGAAGTGTGAATGCCGTGAACCAATCTGCATGTACTACTGTATGGCTATCCGAAACTTCTTTCAGACTTGCACATTCACAAAACACTCTAGAGACAGCAACGGTTGATTATTCCTCGATAGAGATATGTGTAATTCTGTTCGACAATAATGAAATGGAAAACTCAATTTCACCTCAGGAATCCGGTTATACAGACACCGTAACTTCCTTATTATAAGGCAACCACTTCTCATCAAGTAGAACATTCCCAACATTGCGGGATCAAAACTCTGTCAGCAAATCCTGTCACGCATGAAACCACTCCTCTAGGCAATACAAGTCACAGCGACCTTGATTCACTCGACCAAAATTTCATCGTATAGAAACATGCTACCAGTATTACCGAACAACCACACAGGGAAGCACTACGGAAATAGATTCAGCAGAGAGCACTTCAAGTAATAGTGACCAAGTCAACAGTTGATATTGCAGTTTGGGAGAATCACGGATAATCAGTACATAGTGAATTGAAACGTCCTCATAAGTATGTATTCTGTAGTTAGACGGTTCACGAAACACTAGGCAAACAATTTTTCCGTTACAGTGTCTACCTGTAAAATATTTGAATGTATAAATCTGTTTTACAGGCGCAGCATTATTGGCACTGACATCACCAGATATCAGTTCGACTCTTTGTGATTTTAACTATGGTGAGATATTCAAGCTACTTTTAGTGATAATAATGATGACCCTAATACAACTGATCTTTTGTGCAATAACAACCTACTGATACTTGTCTAGTAACGGCACCATATTGCACGTGATAATGCAAGATGATTTACACATAGAAAGGTTTTTACTTTTGGACCTAAGCCATTGTTCCGAATTTCATCATGCAGTAATACAAGTTATGGTACCAGTGAAAATTACCTGGAAGTACCAGAGAAGTGTATTGCAGCATTTTCTGCAACTGGATGGTCCCGTATTTCAAACCCAGTAGATGTGACGCAATCTAATGGACTCTGAGGCAGCTGTCTAGTACTCCTGGCTAGTTTTCAAACATTCTCTCACCAACATCAATTCGTCAACGAGCTTGAAACGCAACGAGTCACTACAAACCTAATCTAGAACATCTCTGTTCTTGTTTACCGTGATTCTGTTGCAAGTCAAGAGTAAACTAAATCGAAGTAATATTACTACTGTAATGACAGAAAACAGAAGTATTTTTCGCAGGACCGCTTATTGAATTCATGAATAATCTGCATTCAGACGGGAATGAAGATCACTTAGTTCAGCGAAGAGACACTTGTTCGGCGATTTCATTTTTTACGACAGCTGTACAATCATAGCATTTATGTAAAATGTTCTCTCCGCAAATAGGTCAGGAAGCGACAAAAGAGTTGAGTTGTCACAGTCATGCTCGTAGATATCAATCAATCTTGTAAGAGCAGTCAAATAAGGATATCTGAATGACGCACTAGCACGATGAATAATTCATACAAATGATTTATATTCAGGATGCAAAAGCAGACAAAGTTGAGTGTGCCTTCACGTATGAGTTGGAAGAGAGTACAAGGAATGTCAAGGGTTGAACAAAGAAACAAACAAACCAACAAGGTTGCTGGCATGCAAGTAGAAGTGGTCGAATAATTATTTGCTTTTGTATGCAGGGATTCAGATTGACTGTCTGAACGGATAAAACTTCAGCAAAGTGTAGAGAACACGAAAGTGAGGATTACTTTGAAGGTGGAATTTGTTGAGATAGAATGACCACTATTTGATCAATTGTTAAACTATCGAAGTCCTTGTAGACCCACTGTCCGCATCATTTCGACAAAACAACACTTATTGATTCTAGTCTGGTTCATGAAAAACTGCATATGAATGTGTTTTTACTCCTTTAGAAGAAAACGATTTCATGGAGGATTTAATCATGAGCTGACATCAGCTAGAGAACCACTGGAAAACCTGGGAGTACTGGACAGCCGTTTCGTCCTAGTTTGGGACTCCTCAGCAGTACGCACCCACCGGGATTCGAACCCAGGACCTTCTGGTTACAAGGCGAGCTCGTAGACCATTGAGCCACTGGGACCCGATCCAATAGTCCTTGAATTCTAACTTCTGCCAGTTCACGACATAGCGCGACCACTTCGCAATGTCTTCTTCGATGAGTTACTGCCTCATCTTCGACCTGCTGTACCCTACTGGTCACGGCTTCCCACTAGAACCCCAGGTTAACTGCCTGAATAGGGCCAGTCACTAGTGAGCATCAGATGAATTTTCAAGTATTGGTTTTTGTAGGGATTTTGTTTGATTGCATGGAGGATTTAATCATGAGCTGACATCAGCTAGAGAACCACTGGAAAACCTGGGAGTACTGGACAGCCGTTTCGTCCTAGTTTGGGACTCCTCAGCAGTACGCACCCACCAAGATTCGAACCCAGGACCTTCTGGTTACAAGGCGAGCTCGTAGACCATTGAGCCACTGGGACCCGATCCAATGGTCCTTGAATTCTAACTTCTGCCAGTTCACCGTGACCAGTAGGGTACAGCAGGTCGAAGATGAGGCAGTAACTCATCGAAGAAGACATTGCGAAGTGGTCGCGCTATGTCGTGAACTGGCAGAAGTTAGAATTCAAGGACCATTGGATCGGGTCCCAGTGGCTCAATGGTCTACGAGCTCGCCTTGTAACCAGAAGGTCCTGGGTTCGAATCCCGGTGGGTGCGTACTGCTGAGGAGTCCCAAACTAGGACGAAACGGCTGTCCAGTACTCCCAGGTTTTCCAGTGGTTCTCTAGCTGATGTCAGCTCATGATTAAATCCTCCATGCAATCAAACAAAATCCCTACAAAAACCAATACTTGAAAACGATTTCATCAAAGAGAGACACCTAGCTGGACTTATTCTCCCGTACTTCTTCAAAATGTTTCATTCTGATTCATGACAAAATACAGAAATCACACACTTGAGTTTCAATTAGTGAAAGTGTGCCGTAATTCCCTTCCACTCTCTTCATTACATGCCTATTACACTTTGTCGTGAAAGGAACTCAGCCTGTCCGTCGAATGTTCTCATTCCTTGCAGAAATCGTCTTATCTTTCACGTCCAACCTACTCTGTTTTGCAGACCAAACACCAGATCACATGCATGGTTAGCGAGTTGCCTACTGCCAGACGACACACGCATATCACTCAATGAACTGGCATTATTTACTGGATAGCTAAGTCACGAATTCATTTGTTTATTCCTAGATTGACCACAAAATGTTATCAGTTAGAGGATCACTGAAAATCACCATGGAATACTGGACAGCTGACTTTCACGTCATAGTTTTGGACTCATCGACAGTATGCAAACCACATGAAAACGAACCCAGTAGCTTCCGCTTTCTAGGCAAGGTCACAGACGTTTTCCACCAGAACCTGAATCCACTGCCAATCCATTAATTCTACCTTCTACTTATTCGTTATCTCTTTTAAAATCTAATGCAACAGGAGACACCGTGATTGTTAACTGACGCCTTATTTTCAGTTTTCAGTTCAGTTTTGATTGCCTGTTGACTGGTTGGGTCGAGATATGACACTTCTGTATACTTGCCGGCTGTCCATCCACGGATGCTTCAAAGATATCTGAGGACTAAACTCAAAGTAATTCCGTGTATGGTGTTGAGGAATATAGTTCAGGATGCATATTTTGAGTTACTTAAGTTCCGTCAGTGAGATGCACCTGCGAACACCATTATATCAGTATGCTCCCGCTGAGACTCTAATCGAGCACCTATTGTTTGAAACAACAAAGTATCAACCACTAGACAACTTGAGTCATGCTAGCTATATACACTGAAAGCTTTATTTATCCGATCAACTGAGAATACAATAAGTAAAAATTGTTCAACACCCGTAACACTGGACATCTAGAAAATTCTACCCCCACCCTGGACAGTTAACGCAATGTAAGCATCGTAACTATGAAAATCACATCTATAAGTTGTGTAGTTTCTCTTCGATGATATGGTTCTGAACAATCTGAAATCGTTTCCAAAACGTAGTTATCCAGTTTTCAATACTGTTTCACCATGTGTGTGACCTACATTTTATCGAATAACATGCTCACACCGCAGTCTGCCACTTGCACACATGTGCTGAGATTATTTTCGTACTGTTGTTGTCACCTCTTTTTTTCTGTCTTTCAGTTATTCACAACAACAAGTTTCAGATATTTGCGAAAACTTCCATGGAATATCTGAGCAGTAAGTAGTCGTGTTGACTGTCAAAGAGCTAAAGGCATAATACAGCATTCAATTGTGTTATTAAAGAGTTCCAAAAGACCATGAAAACCACATACTACTGACTGAGAATAATATGTACTTGTAGAACACTTCAGCTAACAAACAGTAGTGCCGTTTAGCCAACTTGATGAAAGTGATCTGAACATCACTGGGTGGCGATTTGTTCCCTTCTGGCGGTGACTTCACCAGTAGTGTGATCAGTCTACCTCGGTTCAAGCCACCCAAATTCTGGCTGCCTCATTGGCAAACTGGTGATTAATCGAATCCTATTTGCAATTTAACCAGTTTGAATGTGTAAAACGACGCCACTCAGTCTCCTAAGCAAACGAAAATTTTCCAGTCACTCATTGTGAGTGCGTAATCCTCTTGATATCATAAAGGATTATCATCAAAGCCCGCTGTAATGGCTGACACTATATACTACTCATTTTACTAGTGTCAATGCAGTCATATCACGATGAATAATTCCCATTTTCACAATGGATATATGCGCACATAATCAACTGAGGCTTCAGTAAACTACGAAGTAATTTGCAAATCGTCCACTCGATTTTAGTTCATTATGAGACTCAATCACTTCATATGTCTTCTACTGTGACATTCACAACCACGTACCTATTTGCGTAAAAATCATATCTATGTTGTGTTCGAATGGTCCATGAATTGTGTTTTCATTGATTACAGGACTGAAACGCGACTGCAGATGGAATTATGAGGAGGGATTTTCTGAGCTGTTCAAGATATTCAAGGGTATGAATAACTTTGAGAATAACTCTCTTAAACATTATGAAGACTGGATAACATTGAAAGTTTATACTAACAAGTGGAGACCCTGATGCGACAAGTCCTTGGATAGAAATATTTGCAGAGCTGCGATTCAATCACTATCAAACTATTCATATGTCCATATCGAATCATCAGTGTGACCGACATCTTAGATTTGTTTACTCGAAGTCGATTTCAATGCACATCAACCCTCATCAACAACATCACATTGCAACAGCCGCAAACACAGCGTAATCAACTCAATTCTAAAGACATTTGGAGAAATCAAATTCTTTGTCATCTCCAAAGAACCGGATCATTTCACGTATATGCTCTAAATCAATCTACTCATGCGATCCCCCTAATGCATGACCAGTCACAGAGCATTAACAACGTCATCAAAAATACCCAATTTAATGGTGACAATGGTGATATTTGAAAGCACCATTGAACATCGTCTGCTCATATTCTGATTTTCAATTGGTAAGATGTGAAATTGGTTTCGTGGGTGGTGACTGGCGGTAATAACCAGGATGGGCTTTTCGCGCAATTTGAGTTCTTTCAGTTTGAAATGTGTGCACTGCCCAATGCACGTACGTACAATTGATGAGTTCTGAATAACACGAAACAAGCATCATGCATTCCACCACTAGTCACCACCCACCAAAATACTTCAACGTATTACTTCAACTCAATGCAAAGACTTCAACATAGCCTCTCTGCTAGGAGAGGATATATCAACCGAGGTCCATCATTTCTGCTCAATCAGTCAACAGGAACCTCGAAATAGGTATAAAGTATATATATGATTACACGTTAATAAGAATTCGTGTTTCGAAAGAACATGCTGAGTCTAACACTGTATTCTGTTGATGATTTGCAGTCTTTGTTACCTTCGTAAAATCTCTTAACGATGCATGGATGGCTAGAAAAGATCTGTTTATCTCAACAGGTTAGTCGACAGTGTATATATCCGTTGTTGTTGTTCCATGAACAATATTCACTGTAAATAATAACTGCATTGTCGGAAATTCTGTTTTCACGTTTCGTTCTGTGCTTATTTATGATCCTGAAAATAAGTGCGACAGTCAAGAAGAGTACACAGGTTAACAAGGAGATCGCCTCATGTTACTTCGCATCATAGCTCGCTAGTTTCCTAAGTGTTTATATACACAATGACAACACAAGTTACTGTCTATTGTCATTTCGGTAGTGAAATAAATTGAAGTGTATGGGAAATAGAAATGTAAGAAGCAGCATTCATAATGCTTACGTGATTGCAGCAGTTGAAAAGTAATACGTTATATGATGATTGGACGTTTAGAAATGGTTAAAGGAAAATAATATAAATGAGAATTGAAAACGGATCACACAAACTGACTGACTAAACAGAGTTTGGGAAGTACTTCACAAATCTTTATCTACATCATTGAAAAGCCACTTGAGAATGGCACATTGCAGGTGATCCACAATAAAGAACTTGATGAAGTCCTTTAGGTAAAAACAATAATAAGAAAACGCTGAACAATATTGCAGTTGCTAATTCGGATTGAGGTGAACTGGATCACTCGTCAAACTGCGAGAAAAGGAGAAGACAGGAAAATGTTGTTTAAATAAGAAGACGAATTTTTAAAAAGGAAGATGATGAAATCCTGAAACTAATCAAATCCATACAAACCAATACTTAAATACCAATGAGATGCTCACTGGCGACTGGCCCTATTCAGGTAGGTAATTACCTGGATTCCAGTGGGAAGTCGTGACGAGTAGGGTGCAGCGGGTCGGGTGTGAAGACAAATACTCGCCGAAGACATTGGCTAGCGGTCGCGCTATGTCGTGAATTGGCAGAAGTTAGAATTAAAGGACCATTGGATTGGGTCCCAGTGGCCTAGTGGTATACGAGCTGGTGTCGTAACCGCAGGGTCTTGGGTTCAAACCCCGGTGGGTGCGTATTGCTTTTACCAATTACTTAATAAATATTCCGAAGAAAATGACAGAGATTGGACACACACATTGAAAAAGTCATTGAATTGCATTACGCGCCAGGATATCACATCTTTGAATCGACGTTATGAATAAAACAGTTTGCTTTGCCAACTCAAGCTTTCTTAATCCCATATTGTAGTTGTGGGAATGGTAGTGAAATACTGGTGGCATATGTTGAGAGTGATGATTCGCCAAGTATTGATTTGAGAACAATATGCATTTCGCATGCTGAAAGATTATCAGTGAACGTTTTCAGTTGAATGGGTATTAGGCCGTACTGTTGACAGAACAGTATAATGAGTGGCTGTAGTTTTAGTAGTAGTAGTAGTAGTAGTATAACAACACAAGCTAAGGGCCAGGCAACAGATCTTTTATTAAGGGAATTAACACGTATTTATATATTTTCATTTACATTTTTATAGCTTATTCAAGCAAACAAACACAGTATTTTGATTGGTGGTTTCTATCTGAACGTTTGTCTATCATCACTTTGTGGCTGTTTCTTGAATATCAGATCACATATATGCTAACTGTATCCATCTACGCAAAGTCTTTGTTCCCACTTTTCTCGTGACCAATATTCGGGACATAAACCTTGACGTTAACTAATGTCTACCAGTTGGGCTAGAAGTCAGCTATCACCACAGTAGCAGAAGTATGAGCACCAGTATAGAATGGAGTTTCAAAATATGAAGAATTATATTCGATTAGCTGCTTAATATGAGAGCGTTCTAACTATAGGCAGGAACACCAATGTACTGAAGCTTAACTCCTCAAATCTGCTCATCAAATAAAACTGCACAAAATATCTCAAAAATGATGACAATTCTTCTTTTTATAGTTTTGGTTTGTAAGGATTAGTTATGTTTTACGAGTTGATCACGGATTGATATCAGTTAGAGAACCATTGAAAACCAGGGAGTACTGGACAGCTGCTGTTTCATCCTAGTTTGGGAATCATCGGCAGTACTCACCCACTGGGTTTCGAACCCAGGACCTTCCGGTTACAAGGCAAGCTCGTATACCATTCAGCCACTGGGACCCGATTCAATCGCTCGTGAATTCTAACTTCTACCAATTCTTCTTTTACATCAGAAATCTCACTGACCTGGATCCACTCGACAGTAGCAACTGTCGACTTACAACTCTTTATTATGATCATACACACTTTAAAGAGATAAAGTTAACGACACACTTTCTAAGATTACTCATTTTCATTGTTTGCTTTTTGGACTATACGATACATTCATGATTTTTTTCATTGACAGCTTTGTACTATAAAAATGCCGATATTCAGATGAGACAATACTATTTTGGAAGTGAGTAGACAAAACTAACGAAGCTTATTGGTAATAATTTATTCATATTGAATGTCTTGAAACAAGTGAGAGGGATAATTTCTAGCTAACATCAGTTCGAGTACCATTGGAATTAAGCATGATGTACTGGAAAGCCGTAGTGGCCAATTTCACAAATTTCGAGCAGCAGCATTCACCCACCGAGCTTCGTTCCAAGGCACTTCCGTTTACAAGACGTGTTTGTAGACCATTGAGACACTGTGACGTGATGTAGCGGTCCGTGAATTTCAACTCCTGTCAACAGTAGCACAGTAATTGACTAATTCGTGATCTCGTGTATCAGGTGTCACAGTATGATATTTTGTTATTAGATTGAACGACTATCGCTCGGGTTATCTTCGACCACGAGTAACAGGGACTGGCTCTGGTGGTGAATTCGAGCGGAAGTCATCAGTTAAAATACTTTCAATGATTGGTCAGATTTCCTTGGTGTCATCTGTTGACGAATATATCTGATGTCTTCCAGGACACAGAAGTAACGCGTTTCTTAATTTCGTACAGTACCTTCTTTGTACACGTCGAAGAAGATTTCGAAAGATTATTGAACGATATCAGTTTTAAATAAAGATACTCATGCAAGATTGATGTGAAATAATTATGCATTCATTCATTGAGATCTACTGCGGATAACGTTGAGCATCTACCACGTCTGTTACTCTCTCCAGAATGATTTGATCATATAATTCCATTAGTTATTATCCTGTGATTTTATTGGTTGGTATTTATAGCGTACTTAACTAATTTGCTGAGAAACGATGCGAAAACGTAAGCTAATACGCAACAGTAGAGACATCGGTGATGAGACAATGTCCTCTTAAATTCATTAGGTTGATATGAAAATATCAGACTATTAGCACTAACGTAAATGAGTAGCAATTGAAGGCGTATTCGGTTATACAGAACACAGAGAAAATATTTGCAATCCTATGCAGGTTTCTGAATGAAGTGGAAATTAGAATGCGGCATTCAGATCTTCAGAATCACTCAGATAACTCCTCTCAAGGCTTAAAGAGCCTATTTACTCATTAAAAGAAGACGAATTTCCTGTGCACAAAATACTGTGTAATGACTTCAATGTCATCTGTACATGTGCCACCAGTGTAATTGTGCGGACTGAATCAGGTTATCGAATCACATGGATTGAGTTCAATGTAGAATGATTGACCCAAGAAATTGGCGAGTCTAAAGAGAGAAACTCAGCAATCGCAATCCGAGCACTGGAAGATAGTCACAAAATACATTAATGCCTTTCGCAAATATACACTGAGTTCCTAAATAGTAAGAGGACAAGAGGTTGTCCAACAGACATACACACATACAATATTAACATTACATGTCTATAAACGCAATAATTTTCCACATTCACCAGAAACCACAAGCAATTAATTTCATTTTCACTTTACAACATTGAAACTGCACTTATATTAGCATAGAAATCAAAAATAACACTTACAATAGCATTGCTTTCTACTCTCCATTAGGTAATCAGTTTATAGGAGAAGACTTGGGAATTGCTACTGAATCAGAATTCGTCAAATTAAGAAGTAAGCAAATATTTGAACGAATGTTAAATTTCAAACTCTTTTCCCAATTTGGTATATTTAAACATGTAGAGGCAACTATTTGTACTTGCCCTTTTTGGAAGAGAAAAGGACAATCGATTGACTGAGGATGTTGCCTGGCAAGGCTATCAAAGCTCCTCAAAAAAACCACACAGCTAAGGAAACACAGCTACACCAAAAATAAACAAATCCAACGTGCATCTATTATTTGACCGAAACGCTTGAATTCTCCTCCTACAATCACTTCAACAACTGAATAAGCAGTTACTCAGACAACATAAATATTTAGCCACATTCGCACCTGCTTCTCTTGTAAAGTGTATACGCCTGATTTCAAAATGGTCAGTAATATGTGGGCATGGAGAACACCTATTTCACGTTGACTGTTTGATCGGATTATCTTGAATCGTGCTTAATTTCATTTCTCTTTGTCCAGGAACTGTCGAGCAGAAGTGTCAGATAATGTCAGGAATACAAATAGATGCGAAGAGTGAGCCCCACTTTGTTTTTTTGTTTCTGATTGGCAAATGGCTACTGCAACTGACCAACAGATATGTTCACCATCTGCAATAGGATCAATTTATTGTTTATGGTGTAAAGTAATATCTGTTATTCTAGTCTTTCACCAGAAATTTTATCATATGACAGATATCCAAGGGTGACTAGAACTGTGTGTGTTGAGTCTGTACTGCTCAGCCGACCAGCAAACATAGCATCTATGCAATTCAGAGTACTGTGATTCATCCATTCACCAAAACACCGATCCATTCATGCATTACATACATGATGAATATTTTACCATGAAATTCTTATTATTATTCCCCTATGTTCCGATTGGAACATGGGAATTGAAAGTCATCTCTCACGTATCCTGGTTTGTGCAAACACCTTGAGCAGACTTTAAGAATTCTCGTTAGTTCCCAACTACTATTCAGTCGAATTCACGCTCTTTGTTATTCGGCATCGACCCAGGGAAGGCATCTGGTGATAAACGTCAAAAGTGAATTGTTTGAAATAGTTTTTTGTACGTCGACTTTCTGACCGATCCAGACGAACTAAAAGACTTCACAATGTTGTCGTAGAAGTTGAATCCACTACTTCTGACGAACTTTGTTTTCACTCTTATTTCTCGAATCGGTGTGATATTGAATGTAAATCGTCCGCGGTGTTCAAGTCTGTCTTGTAAGAATCGACATTTCCAATTGTCTGATAATATGCGTCTCATATATATCTTGGGCAATACAGTTGTTCACTACCTACGGTATTTCACTAGTTCTCCAACAGATTTCAGCTAGTGATGTCAACTTATCCAACACCCATCTAGTTGCTTAATTATTGGTTTCTAAGTGAGTTTTGAACAAATATCCCGTGTATCCGATTGTGTCAGAGGTTGAGCAGAAGAAATTTTGCCAGCAAATCGAGAGGGGTGCCGAATCAGATAACCCGCCGACAGAGTCCAGAACCTCGACTAGTGTACCAGCACAGAGTAAACTTGGCGAGGATGGAACATTGCGCCTGAGGATAACAATGTTCGCCAGTGAAACAACATATCAGCTTTTGAAACGTCAGTATTTCAAGTTCCGTGGAACCATATGCTCCATTCAGAACTGAAGGCAGGCAAGACAAATATCTGATTGTCACTTATAGAAGTTGATACTCTTTACCTTCCCTAGTCCATTGTGCCTGCTAACAATTTCTATCGATATCCTCATATTTTCCTTTAGCTGCCAAAGAATTTTTCAAGAAATCAGATGGGAGAAATGCACCAATGTCTGAATTCAAGGAAGCTGTTGGTAAGCAGAAAATTGTTGCTTCCAGTCCTTATACCCTCTTACGTGAAGCGATTTCAAATACTGACATCACTATGCAGACTTAAAGGAAGAAGGCCTGTGTGCAGGACTTCACCAACATAACACGTGTTGAATAGCTTTTGCATAGTATTTCGAAGGACGTTTCTCGAGGCTGGAATTATCATAGAAAATTCAAGAGTGTTTCTGGACTTTATTCGATTCAAGTGTGATCATGCATTGATATTACCTGACTGATCACTGGAAACCATAAGGTAATACTGAGGTGTTGATCATTGCCAGTTCAGGATTGTTCGTCTGTACGCTCCCAAAACCTCAAAGGAGGTAGAACCGAGAATATGCAGGTGATGCAAACAGCCTCGTTAGCCACCCAACCAATATAGTCCGTCATCCGACGACCCTTGAACTCTAACAAGTAAGACTTCGTGATCTTATCACAATCCCCAGACAATGTCGAAGGCGAGAATATGTCCTCACATTCTACCAAGAGCACACCATCAGTCGTGACTTGTCACTAGAACACTAGTCAATTTCATCCTGTAATCAATCCTTAGAGGGCTTCATAACTTTGTTCCGACCACTGACAGTTGAGTTCATGCGTGCAACTGGCCAGTTCTTCTGACTACAGCCATTTGTCTACTGACAAGTTGATAACAGTAAGAATCTCTACTGATATGATTCATTTATGTCTGACATATAATAAACATAATGAGTGGTGGAGATTCTAGAAATTGGAACGATATTTAACCAGGGTTACGAGATGGTACAATCACTGAAATATTAAGTAAGGAAACAACGAGTTGCCAAGTCAATCCAAGGTGGATAATTTAATCCCCATGTAGCCACAAATTATGCCTCAGATGTTGGATTGCTGCTGCATCTTTGCATCGTAGCAGTGTACTTTTACTATAAATTAACCATTCAGAAGTCTACCACGCAGTCTTTCACATGATGGAAATCAATTGCTCATGTCCAGAAATCTGCATGAATATATCTTCTTCAGTGAATATCTCGTAAACTCATCTTGTTACCTTTCAATGAATGGCAATCTAAATAATGCATTTTTCTTTTGTGCAATTATTTCAATGAACTATTAGATATGCTACGTGAGATACTCACTAAAAAACTCGGTGCGGTTTCGCTTGACGATGGATATTTTGCAAATTCGACGAAAGCATTCTTTGATCAGCTCTTCAAAAAGCACGATCTATGTGCCTATGAACAACGAAACATTGACTACATATCTGTTGCAATAAAATTAGACAGCAGCTATTAGGTCGTAAATACTGACCTGTCAATATATGATGAATCCACCTTGGTGAAATTGGGCCATCTTCATTTCTTAGTGAGCTTCAGATCAAAATCACCAACATTTGATTCTGATTCCTTGAGTTGTCTCTTTCTGACTCCACGATTGTCCATAAGCTCTCATGTAATCCTGACACCATATCCTCAATGTCATATTCAGACGCTCAACTCATCTTTTTCCATTCATGTTCCATTTGACGTCTGGTGTGATGCATAGTTTCACTCAGCTGTCTCCTCAGCGTATGTCTGATCCATTTGCATTTTTCGTCAGTCTATGTTTAGGTCGCAGTTACTTGGTGGGTTCGCTGCTGGAGTTTCTTGTTGCTCATCCATTTAGACTATCTGATTTTCAGTATCGAGTAAGCGAAGGTATCTGTTGATGCAAGTCCTAATTAGCTTTTTGATAGCAAGGGAAGTGCCTCAGCTGTAAAGAATATGTGAATGAATTCACACTAGTGATCAATTAGTAATGTTGTATTTTGGTTAGTTGAGGAGATTTTCAAAGTGACTTCAGTGAAATGAAAGTCTGCCTTCCCACTCCGAAGCTGAGCAGCTTTGACAACTTCACTCTTGTCAACTGACAGTCATTGGTGTTTGTTGTTTTTGTTGGTGGTGGTGTTTGATTGGTCATCTTCTTCGCCGATTTCCCCACTATTTTCATTTGAAATCTTGTCTTCGCTTTATGCCTCTTTTGTCAGCTCGTTGCTGTTTGTCTTTAGACATTCTAGTGTGTCTGTCCCATTTGCATGAACTGGATTAAACGGCTTGAGTCGACCATTTGCTTGATTGTCACGCTCGCATATCCAATAAACGTGATATTGTCATATGTTGAGTACATTTTCAATTTGGCTATAATGTATCCTTTAGATGTTTCAAAAGTCTTCAATTATGTCTCCCTCTGTTTCCATCTTCATCTTCCACATCCACTTGAGTCACCTGACACAGAGTTCGCATTGCAGACTTGATTAATGGAAAATGAGCTATTCGATTATTCACTAGTTTATAATAAGATCACTACTCAATTGATATTTCTCCTTGAATTCATTTCACATGTTTAGTTCAACTGGTTTCTGAAGTAGAAAAGGTCGAGAAACACAGAATCAACAGGCTTCACAGTAAGTTCACTCAAATTTCACTCATACAGTAATCCACACGTTTGTTTTTAGCACAGTTGCCATTGGATATTATGAATACAGCTCTGTATGCATTGAAACCAGGGCGTGATCGCGACGTTGGTGAGTGATCTAGAGAATATTTAATTTCTATTTATTTGGTTGTAACAAAAATATTTAGGCGACATGCGTTTATTAGTATCTTCATTATCGCCAGTATTCACCCACGTATTGCTTAGGTATAAGATGAATTTATAGCTTGAGATGTGGACTTCCGTATTGGCCTCGGTTCGCGCGTCCTCTATGCATTCTCAACTAATCCTGAAAGTGACACTGACCACCAAGAAATGTAAATTTCTCTTCCAAGTCACTCTATGGAGCCAGGCCAACGAGAGTATTCCTATCTAGATAGCACTCAAGGGCTTGGTGTGTGTGATATCAGTCATTTGTCTGCTTAGATCACATCCAATCTCTCTCCATTTACTTCAGAATATTTGTTCAGCAATAGGTTTCCGTCGCGTTGGTGACACACTGGTAGAATTTTCGACGTCCACGCTTGTGGTGCGGGGTTAAGTCACTGACTAACGCACAGCTCTTATGCAGTTTTAGGACAGAAAAAAGGGAGGTTTCAGCATGAGGATAGCGACACCATCCCGTAGATTTCAAAACTAAATTATTCAGCAATGCAAATCTGTCTCACCTTTCTGGTTCGGATTTTGAAATCGCTGTCCATCCCTTCTTCAGTTTGGAAGGATCCTGCTCAACCCAATAAAACGAACTTCTTTTAGGTTTCTTTATCTAATGGAGAATACAGACTGTTGTCATTAGCTGGTTATCGCCAACAATCTTTCCTTCCTTAAGCTTATTAGAAATCCCATAATTGATGCTTCTCTCGACCTGTCGCTTTCGTATATATATACATAACATAGGTTGTCCGAGAATGATGCCTCAGTCTTCTGTCATGATTCTCATGATTCTGTCATGATTCTGCTACACAATGCAGTCACACACGATCATGAAGCTTCTAGCATTATCTTAGTCCTATCGCAACTTCAAATGCTCCGATGAGTATTGCTATGAGAATTCCCTGGGATGTGGCTGGTGTCGTATAGCTGCAGTCGTGAACAAAGTTTGAAAATGTTTGCGGTGCCACAATTTGTAGTGTTCAAGCAATTCTCAATTTACTCCGTAGTCGATGATGTTGATGGTATTTTTCGTTCAAAGTTGTCATTCTATGCTGTGTTCAATGACAATGTGAAGTGTTGAGATTCCATCTACCCATCTCAGTCCGTCGTCAGTGATTCTTGAGTACCCTATCTGATTTTCAACGGCTTCTGATAACATTCTGGTGTTCAAGATTTTGATTTCTTCAGACAATACATAATCACTGGAAGTTTTGTATAGGTTGTGCATATTTCTTGAATAGTTGTTGGTTGTGATCAACTTAAGGGTAGTGTAACTAATGAATACAGAGTTCTCTCTGCTTAATCTCTTCCTCTTCAATATCACTTACTATCGCCGTCTGCATTGATCCCTTCCCAGATAGCCACCTGTATTTTGGCCTTAATCCGCAAAGCAATCCCTACCTACCGTCGAAATACCCTCACAAACTGTCACGAGTGACTCACATGCCAAAATTATCCTCCAGAAATCACAAAGGACATTCTTGCTTGATGAAATATGTGAATGTATCCAACAGCAATTATATATACGTCAAAAATACGAAATGGCCTAAAAATGTCCTCTGGTAGTTGCACGTTCAGAAGATATTTCAGAGAGAAAAGACGTCCTTTCACAATTACATGCTACGAGAAAATCATTGAGAAAATCAGTCTCAGTGAAATGGGACTAAAACTCAATCAGCAAGAGTCACTGGTACGCTCCCATCATCACGCATACACATTGTCCTATCCAGCAACTTGAGCTTACAAATTATTCCCGTTGACGTATCAAACAATTGGATGGAATACAACGACAAACCTAAGCGTTTTAACTTCTGCATTTCCAAAAAGACAAACTAGCTATGAGGAGACACGACATGTCTTATTTCATATTCAACGGTGTGTCATGAGTTCAAGACATAAATTCGAGTGAACCACTATATCACTGACTTAATCAGTCACTAATGTCAACCACGGATTGACATCAGTCAGAGAAAGCCTGAAAAGCACCATGGAGTATTGAAAGCTGGCTGTTTCATCCTAGGCTGGTGCTCATTTGAAGTATGCACCACCCAGCGCAAAACAATCCGGTTACAAGCCAAGATCGGACAATATTCCGCCTCATGAATTCTAACTTCAAACAATTCATGATGTTGAATGCGATTACTGCTTGAAAGAATTCAGCTGTCTTATTCTTAAAAATTAGTCGGATGGTCGGACGTGACTGGCTGCAGGATGAAATTGTCTGGATTTCAGAATAAGAAGTTGAGAAAAATAACGCCAACCTGTGTTGAAGTAAACATGCATATACACGGAAGAGATTGACTGGTTGTCGTGCGGAAATCGCGAACTGGTAGCATTTATAATTGACACAATTAACATTAGGCTGGGTCCGATGGCTGGAAAATCAACAAGCCTCCCTTGTTCACCGAAAACCACTGGGTTCCAGCCTCAATGGTGTGTGTAATGCTGGTCAGTCGTAAGCCAAGACTAGACAGCCAGCTTTCCAGTACTCTCATCTGGTTTCCAGTGATTCTCTAAGTGATATCAATCCGTAGTCAAACATGAAACAAGTTAAACGCCTGAGAACTAACTCTAGAAAATTGTGTCAATCCACAACAATTAATCATATAATTTGTTATTTGAATCCACAACAATTAATTATATGACTCCATCTTTTTCACAGGTGATGAAATTTAATGAAACACAGTGGATATGAGGTGTTAACAAGCTAAGAAAATTTTTTTCTCTGGTGATGGTGTTCTACTAATTGAAAATAAACATTTTCTCTTTCACAAAATTAGCTATGCTTAAAATCAGTCATGTTACCTTTCATATAATCTACTTTTATGATTCAAATTCATCACTAAGACACGCGCACTGTACAGATCGAAAACCATGTGTTATTGTCTGAACGTAAGAAATCGATCTTTGCATTCCCCTGTATAGCTGACCAACACTTACTTGAGTAAGACACAATACAGATCTGTCTCGATGATGATAAAACAACAGTTACTTGGAGTGAGATCTGTGTTACCACTAAGTAGTAATTGATCATCCACAAATCGAAACTACCTCACTAATCACTAGAAGCAGCATTACAAATCAAATTCCTTATTAGTAGAAATGTAAACAATGTGCAACGCTAACTAGCTCCTGGGAATCTAGAAGAATATTGTCAACAAGTTGAGATCGAAAGTCTGTCAGCAGCAGACACGTGCCACATACTCCCAGCAGACACTCCAAGATCGAAATTCACAGCTTGAATCCTGATCTCTTTCAAAAAAATATCAACTATAGAAGAAGATATTGGTAATTTTATGAACACATTTTCAGTCTCGCAGTCATCCGATATATAATTAATTTGGTCGGATTCCTCGCAAGTAGACCAAGAATGATTTGTGCTGATAATGTCTTAGAAAATACTTCAGTAAAGACAAACAACTCACTTCCCAAAATGAGCTGTACCGGTCGAGATGTGAGAAGACACATGAGTATTGTGTATAGCGAAGGGAAATCCACCACAGATAAAGAAGCTACGATTTCTCCTGAAGCTGCCATTCACTTTGTGTCATCTCAGAATAAATAGAACCACGAAACGGACTTATACTACAGCTGCCACACTCCGTTCTTCTTCTTATTTCGAACCGATAGATTCCAACCGCCAAATTGGATGATAAGATAGCCATCCAGGTCTACCACTTCACTGTGAATCGGCAAGCTAAGCTGTCTTGTAGAATAAGCTACCCACATTGCGGACACGTAGAGACAGCCTTACAAGCTCATCACGTAGTATCGTATTCCGTGGTTAACAAAAGGCCAAACAGATTGGGTATGAAGCTCCACTTCATCTCATTTAGTCTATGACGATGAAAATGGATGCAACACTGGTACAGTTGTAACCCCACAGGTTCAGGAAAGAAAGGAAAGTTCTTCACTAGCAGAAAGAAAGTTCATATTGTGAAACTGCGGAATAAGAGAAACTTTGTCCTGTTCAACAGCTAGCATGAAATTGTGCTTGGCTTAACTTGACAGCTTAGAGCATGATGCACCATGTTCATTTGACAAGCAAAGGAATACAAAAGTTAAGATGTCTGTCCACATATATTAAATTCTGGATGACTCAGTTAGGAGAAAGTGGATGTGGGGTTACACAACAAGCACAATGCAACCATTTGTGTATGCGGGTGTTGTTACAAAGCAGTTAGTTTCCGATATTTTGAATAAATGTTTTAGGCTACTATTAATGTGGTGCCAGTAGTAAAGCAAACGTGACCGACAACATTTTCCTCTCTTCAAGAAAGGATAATCATAGCACAACACGTAGTTCAGACAAGAGCCTTTGTAGAAATCGAACCTAAGCTAAGCTGTGAAGAAAGATTTTGTCAGTGATCTACATAATTGGATCTTCAGGATCTCAGCATCGGTATCGCCTTCAAATTCACTGTTCATAAGAAGTCGTTTCTCTGCACCGTCTGCGTTATTTCAGCCTTCTGCTTAATCTTCATGATTATCTCATGGAGTATTCCAGAATATTCACTTTACATGGGTACTCGTCTTAGTTGCTTTAGGTCCCTAGCGATTGAATCACTGCAACATATCCTTCTAACTGTTGATGATCAGATTGGATCAGAATCCTCTATATTATCAATGGGACCGAAGATTGGAAATTTCATTATTGACTATTCCTTATTGTTTTCCTTTAGATCGATCCATGAAGAGAACCGTCAGAAGACGTATATGGCGAAGAACGGGTAAAAATCCGAGTTCCTCTTTGATTTCAACGTAGACCGCATAGCATGATGACAGTTGTTAAACCCCTCAGGTTCCATTTCGATGTTGAGTCAGTAATTGTCTTTACATACTACTCTTCAGAATTGACCAGAAAGTTTTGGGCCAAGAAATCTTTCAGCGGCGATTTCATTGCCACTCCAACGCTTTGTCTCAGGATCCTGTCGCTGAACTTGAAGTAGACATAGAAAAGGCATGACAGTCGTAGTTATTCTAAGTAGTGGATCAGAATACCAACCTCTACATTCTTATCCTTAAGGGATTCTGTATATCGAGGAAATAATTTCTTTGAGAGAAACATTAATTTGGACAGACGTGACACATACATGGACATGATTTTCTTCCCGAATGCATCAGAATCAATAGTGAATCGACGAATTCAAAATAATCTAAGAGACTATGCTGACAGAGATTATTTCTGATAGGTAGGAGGATGTCTGCGAGCTGTTTGATAGTAGCATTATATGATGAATTCGCCAAATCGAAGAATGGACGCAGTGATAGGTTCTGTTTGTGCACTTTCCAAAGAAAATACAAACGGAATATGAGAGAAGCTGATTCTCACATTTGGTCATTTGATTCGGAGCTGATAATCGATTCGCTCATCATCTTCTTTAGCATTTGTGTTATTTTCTCTTCATTTTGTTGTGTTCTGTTTTCTGGTTACTCACTTATGACCATTTATTTCCGTCGGATATGATGGACAACGCTTGTTGACGTGGTCTTAGCGATTGATGCAGATGAAGTCAGCACCTTCATCCAAGTAGATGAAAACCAAGTCTTTTTATTCTTACAATTTCACGTTATCGCTTTCAATGCATAGCTGTTATCAGACGCTCGACAATTTGTTTTGCATTGATAATTATCGAGTGTGGTATATTTGACAACTTTTATTTTTACTTCTAAAGCCACTGCTGAGTGGTTGTATTATTTTTGTGATTTGCCTAAGAAGTGTGTGAAGACATGGAGGATGCATCTCATAGAGACATTGCATAGCTAGTTGAATTCTAGCAACTAGACCTTCAAGATATTCACACAACGATTTCTTCCACATGTCGTGACTGAACTCATTATAGGTCATAGTTAGTGTGAAACGGTAAAAAGATGAACTGAGTCATAGGAAAGTGTTTTGCTGCCCATTTCCCTCCAGGCACTGCGAAACAACAATTAAGAGTACTTCATTAATGAGAATATAAAACACGATGAAGGAAAAATGCTATTTTGCGAAATTCATGCTCAAACAGCCTTTTATCGGAAACCCACATGTATTCCATTGACCCAAGGAATTATCAAGGCAACTGGATGTCACATGAAGACTTGTGAGTGTGTCACAATGATATAAGCCGTATTATGTTTCACATATTAAGACACCCAACAGACTACTAGTTGTATATACGGATGTGGATTCATGGTATGCTCTGAACGAAGACATATCTGTGAGTGAATAACAGCTGTTCGCCGCATATCACGTGATGGTTTGAGCACATCAACACTCGGATTTCTCCTCATTTCTTCTCTTCTTCATTTTCTTTTCTTCCTTCTTCTCTTGATTCTTCCGAATCTCATTCTGAGATCACAACCACTTTATTTTCAAAATAGGAAGGAAAATGAAATTTACTGGAGTTCATGTTTCGAAATTAGACAACGTACATATCTGTATTTGAGATGTGATAGAAACGGTTGAGCTTCGTCAAAAATTGAAGCAGAATTGATTTATATATTCCATTACGACACTGAGGACCGTGAAGACAAGATGAATCAGTGCAAATCTCATTGTATATCAGAACCACTCACGTGGTAGCGCTGGTGGCACTTTGACGGTGACAGTAGAAAAGCTTGACTCAGCACCTGAAAAATGCGAAATACACTCTCACTACAGATAACTGATCACACCCAGCATACGAATGCATTTCTTAATTCACAATTCACAAAAGAATGGACACACGTCTCTGTCATGCACATGAAAAGTTTAATTTTATTTATATCTCATTCGAAACGGAAGCAACTGTATTCCATGTGTCAGGTTCAACACCTGCATCTAGCGCAAATTGTTATATTGAAGATCACAGAAACAGGCGTCAATGAAATCACTCTTAGTCAATAATTCCCTTTTTGCCAACATTACTCAACTGGCTTGCTTAACATTCAAAATGAAATCAAGTGAGGAAATTCATCTGACTGCTAGTAAACCACCAACAAACAAACCAACAGACCAATAAACGCATAGAAGATAAATAAACTGACTTACACTATCCAAAATTGAATGTGTTCATCAAATATCCATTCTCAAATGTGCTTTCAATTTGGCCAATCTGCTTTCATTAGTTTGTTTACACCAAAAAGTCCAGAATCTCCTGCCATGTTAGCTTTCATGGACAAAAGTGAGCCTTTCACCTTTACGTCCAACACAGTTATCAGACATGAAATGATTGCTGACTAAATCATCAAAACAACTTCGACTCTGCCACATTGCTGACATATTTTTCACTGAATATTCGAATAAATCTGATGAAATGAGATGGTCGTTGTGTAAACAGTACGTATCCTGGCTTTTTAATTCGTCTCATCAATTTTTTACTACATGCTACATGCGTCGGTGTCGCAGTGGTTAGGACGCCCACCGACCACGCAGATGGTCTGGGGTTAGAACTCCTGCCAACTCAAACCTGATATCTATGGTCGGCTTGAAAAATTTGCGCTACCGATATCACATGTTGAACATTCCATAATTGTACAAAAAATACAGTGTGGAATCAAGTTTTAATCAAAAATAAAAATTAAGCAAACAACAGAATAGAATTCAGCTATTTCTACCATCATTTACCAACCTTGGTCAATACTCCTGAATTGGTGTTTGTGTGTTTGTTGTTCTGAATTTCCTTATAATATTAGAAATTTTTAAGTTACATTAATTCGCTTCGTTTCCGTGTAGAACAAAGGCCTTCAAAAACTCATCGCCACTAAATCTCATGTCTCGTGGTCATGTGATTATAACTGATATGCTTATGAACATTAAATTTTGTTCGAAACGCAATCAAATAAAAAATAATCTAATAGTAGCACCCACTTGAGTTCGAGCACAGGAGCTTCTGGTAACAAGGCGGCCATTGAGCCGCTGGAACCAAATCTAACTTCTGCTAATTTTCAACATAGCGCGACCATTTCACAATGTCTTCTTCAATGAGTTACTGCCTATTATTCAACCTGCTAAACCCTACTGGTCACAGCTTCTCACTAGAAATCAACACCTGAACATACATCTAATAAACAAACTAGTATTGAATTGCTTACTACCACAGTGCCGAAGTTTTACACGTATATTAACATTCCAACTCTCTTCCTTTATCTACCGTCCTCTTGACTGCGGATCACGATTGCCCACAATCTCTCAAAGCCACTTCACACGATCTCCTTCATCTCACCGTCGATATAACGGTTTGCTCGTCACCACCCATCACGATTACACTCTATATCTTGGTGAGATGTCATTTGATGACATCTTCAGTACATGCACATTAGATCTTCACTGTGAAAACCAAAGGGAATTTACAGAATTTTCACAGTTCTTGTAGTTGGCAGAATGTTGTGAACTATTCCTTAGGCTAATGGATAGTTTGAATTAGCATCTATCTGTTTGAAGTACTCAGTAATTAACACATTCAACTGGTCGTCAAAGCAATGAGTACTCGAGACAGCGTGCATTCCACAAACATGAAGGTGACACAAATCACTAAGTAGTTGAATACTGCAGTTCAAAAATCTGATGGGTAATTTCGTGTACATATTCTATCATTCTGTACTCATGTACCTATTCAAGTCCCTGAAAGACCGGTAGCCTTCTTGGGATCTCCATCGTGAGCTTGATGCATTTAATAGATATGGTAAATGTTTGCATTTGGAAGACAACTATTTTCCTACATAATAACAATAACAATAACAATTTCGCTTTATTCCAGAAACAGTACTTGTGGTACAGTGTGGAATTTTCAGCACATATCTACAATATTGCATCTAATTTCATCGTACATTTAAAAGGAGTATTATAAAAAAAATAAAATAAAATATATCAAAAAAAACAACAAAAATCCAAAAAAAAGAAACACAGAAATTCACCTGAGTGTCTCAAGTGTGAAGATGCCTGAGGATGGTCTGCGAGGCGAGTGGGTGCGTGTCCATTATTTCCAAAAAATAGTCAAGTTTCACTGAGATACTTGTTTTATTCACCATGAACGCATCTGATTTCATTGACAAGCATAATATGATTGGAGTGAAAAAGTGAGTGTTAATAAATGTCAAGTGAGTGAAACACTTCATTTCCACAATTCAATGTCCAATGAGGCATGAAATTGTTTGGTAGTTAAACGAACAGATTCTTTTGTGCCCTGTAGTATACATGCCAAGAGATCGGAAACCACTGATTATCAATTGTGGTTGCAAGACTATTTCTGTGAAGTAATCACTTGTAGACACAGAAATTTAACACAGGCTTCATGCAATGAACGACATTGTATTCATTGTATGAAGCACAGCAATGCATACAATTGGTGTGAAGCCACCAATCTTCTTCTATATACCTAGAATCTGTGTCATCAGCCTGTGCATTTGCTCGTGAATATACACCATATGTCAACGTGTTGATCTGTTCTAATTTAAGTGTGATCTGATGAATTCCTAACAGTACCTTCCATCCATAGTCCAACGTATCTAAGTCATCACTTATTTCGCAATGGATTCGTTTGTTTTATTTTCCTCGTCCAAATTATGACATTGCCATCCAATCAGACATAAGGACTCTCTTTCACTTGTTACGAGGTATTACCATGTTGGTTGCAAAAATATAGCCTTTAAACGAAACTCCACTTCTCAAATTTTGCTTTCCTGAAGAAGGTAGTCAGTTACAGCTTTGAATAAAGAAATGGATGAGATTTAGCGCGTATGCATGTAATTATGCTTTGACGCGTAAAGGAACGAGTGCGTTTACTAGAACAGAACGAACCGAGGGTGGGTTTAGCTATCTCTGTAGAATTCAATGATAACTCTGAATAACATATTGAATGTGGTTGTCGTTGTGATGACTTTGGATCTTCCGAATGTCGGCCCTATCAACTTTGTTTGTTGGTGTTCTGCTATCCATGAAGTCACTAATATTACCGACTTTTCAGCGTAATCAAAGTAATACAGTTACCAAGTGAGTGAGAAATTGACCGCATGCCCTTTCTGTGTCTATAAGTGCGCTGTAAATCTTTTGGTTACAATTTCATCAGCAAATCGTAGTAAGTTTGCTGTACTTTGTACGTTTAATGGTTTCAAGCATCTAGAGTTCTCGACAAAATTACTGGTATCCACAAGATGTTTCGTTATTTCACCTTTTAATTTCCTTATTCATTTTAATTATTAGTTTCTCTGAGTATGTTATAAAAAAAACGTTAGAATAACTTCGCCAAAAGATCGTGAATCTGAAACCCAGTCGGTGCGCACTGCCGACGGCCATCACATAAGCAAGAAACAGCTGTCAAGTACTCCCTGCCATCTCTTAATCCATCTCCGAATGATTTGGATCCGTGATCCAATATAAGACAAATCGAATCCCTCCACCATCGAACCGTCCAAAATTATTTTAACTGGTCGAAATCCCCGTTCATATATCACTGAACTACTTAACGGCACGACGCGTACTATCCAAATATCTCTTTCAATCTCTTTGTTTTGGTTGTGAACTTGGCTGCATTACTTTGAAGCTTGGCATTCCAGTGAATCATCAATCAATAGACACACACAGATAGACAAAATTTATCAACCGATAAGAAAGTAACTTCACACACACAAAAGGTCAAAGTTCAAGTCAAAGAAACAATCAGTTCCAATACAAGTAGCATAGAAGGTGTGAAAACACACAGTAACAACCCATCACGTCCAAGGTCACCAGGAGAGATGAATAATAAACTCGTAGAGAAATCTAAAAGCTCACTTCATTGGATTGAAGTATGCCCTGAAGACGTCACCCAGTAGGCTGATGAATGCTTTGCAAATCAACCATCCAGCTCAGAGAACACAACCACATCAAAATCATCCACCTGAGCTGGAAATCCTCTCTATCACATTTAATTTGACCCTTGAAAGGTTTTTATTCTGGAACATTCCCACACATTTGTCATAAAAGCACGCTAGCATGCACAGTCTAGCCGTTGACAGTTTCGCTGCAATCGTCTTTTCAATAAATCCTGTGATCCAAAGTGTATTTTCCGTAATTAAAAAGTGTGGAAAACAACCGAAGATTGAAGTAACGCTTAATGTGCATGTTAATTATCGTATAAAGTGAACTGTCAATTAAACAATCATCAGTTTTCGGTTTGTTCAGCTTCACAGTACTGTTCATCGATGAGTAGTAATAAACTTCAATAGAACTAACATTATAAGAACACAATACTACATTCTTTGCCAGTATTCGGCATCTTGTGATTAAATTGTTTTCGTCATACTGTGTCACCTACATTGCACTAACTATTTGGTGTTTTTCATTCTGACAGCCTTGTCTACACCCTGTAAATTCATGCATTACCTTTATCCGACTTTGGATTTTCCGGACACGCTTATGCACTGTTCAGCATTTCAATTTATTCATGGTGACAGAGAATTATCGGCGACAAACTAAAATGGAGCTCCTAAAGTTATGTTCTGCATTCACTTCATTCTCACTATTCATTCTTAACACAAGTCGATCAATCGGTATCTTCGCTAGAATTTGTCAAAGCCTGAACTATGACTACTGCTCTTTGTGTTCATCTGTGCTCTGCTTAATTCTAATAAGTAGTGACAGTTGATATTTGTTTCAATGTTACTACTTATTGTCTTATATTTTTCAATTACCTGCGATACATTTGTGAAATCTGGACCTATATAATTGGACAATTTTGATTATGTGCTGGATATTGAAACATCTCACATAGTCTTTTTTAAATCATCCATGCTACGAAAAAGAATTACCGACGAAATGATTTCTTGCAAATAGATCTTCAAATCTTGATCAACTCTATTGCATTTTATTGCAATAAATAACAATTTTGCATTAACTTGCTGATATATTTGTTAACAAGATAGGGCTTCAACAAGACATCTCTACTTTTTCCCATTTTCTGCCGACCAAATCATCTGTTTCCACGACTGCTCATAAACTATTGTATCCGGCTCTTCGCACGATTTCTTACATGTTCCCTCCGTATAGACGACCCACTCATTGCTTCCCATAAGGAATCCATTCAAAAATTGGCTTTCATTGCGCGTTGCATCGTTCGTTCGACTAAACAGCTTATGTTAAATACTACAAATTAATTGAACAATCGGTTATCGTCCGTTGGTTTTTTTCCAGTCAGAGGTTCTTCCCGCAAACTCTTTCTGGCAAAGCAGGTGCAAAATTTGATATTCAGCATGAAGCCACGCAGAGCAGATTTTGATGAAACTCACCAAGGTTTTGGAAAACCTGCTAAGGCGACACAGTAGGTGAATTAGGCAGATGCAGACAAAACCGTTGAATGTTGTCGCGCGCCACACCATCTCTTGATTGCGGCTCTAATGACATTGATGACTGAGACATATATTTGAGAGTGACATGTAGTTCATCATGTGAGGAGGCGAATAGAGTTTATAAGCGATTCTGAGATGGAGATATGCAGTTGAAGTCATAGGCTACACTCAGAAACTAGGAGTATATCACTAAAACTACTACTACTGATAATTATAAAAGTAATAGCGACATAATAATAAGTAGAATTTAGTGGTGGGAAACAGAGAGACTAGATTCAGTTCACAACATCCAATGTTATTACACCTCGTGTTTCTGCGTACAAATCTCATGTGAGAATCACAAGAAAAATCTGAGGATACAGCGAAACGTGATTCTCTTTGCCTGTAAACATGTAAACTGAAGCTGTTCTCATACAAAAGATCTTGAATTTATTTTGTGATTAACACAGGATACTTCACTGAATAACCCATTCACATAAGTGCAATAAATCTCTTAGAAATAAGCAACTGAGAGAACCTGGTGACCTTATTACCACTGAAGTGTACTAGTGTATTGATGCATTAAAAATGGATGGTGAATCGTGTCGCCTTCATTTCGAGAAATGTGAGTTTGTATGTATGCCAACGTGTTGAGCACGGAGTAACAATTTTCTACGAAATGCTCACTGATTTCGCTCGTGTGTATTCCAGGGTAAGAAAGAGCCACAAGCTTGATGTGTGAAGTTTCATCGGCAGAGACATTCGCAGTAGGAGTTGCAGTGTGTGTTGACGTTGGATCTTCACTCATTCTGCCTTAGTCATCATGCATTTTACCAGCTTTGTGAGGTTTTGGAGTGAGCCATCCTGTGATATAACCCTGAGTGAGTTGGATTTTTTTCCTTCACGTTGCCCAATGGAATTAGGGGCTTCAAGCTAGTGACTTGAAGTTTCTGTAGCATTGTTTATATTACACGATGGATTTACTGGCCTCATGCCTAACATTTCCTCTTTGCCAGCATCATTTCTGGCTCAGTGAGGTGAAGGAGTGCGTCAGCCGGGAACCGAACCCCGAACCATGTACATAGTCGACGAGCTTCCTAACCGCTATACCACCGACGTACTGGTCAGATGGATGGTTAGAGTGTATTTTACAAAATGAACCACTGACACACTTGCACCAAGCAGCATTCAACACCTGTTTCATCCCACTTTGGATCAACTTATGTGTGAAAACCAAGAGGGTTAAAAACCAGTAGCCTGTAGCTATGAGGTAAGCTCGTAGAGTGTTCACTCACTGAAACTTAACTAAGCGATATAACACGCCAGAAAAACCCTCAAGTACATTCTAATTTCGAGCGAGTTGTTAGTCGTCGGTGTGGTGGTGACACACAGGAGGCTGTGTAATGAAGAAATGAGGGCTTATGAGACATTGTGAGTTCAGCTAGAAATGTTCTAAAATTGGATTAGATAAATGCATGGGTCATCGTGACAAGACAACCACATTTTGTGGATGCCAATCTTTGCCAGGAACAAGTTGATTTCAGGAAAAGTGAATCAATTGAGCACTAAATTAGAAACCCACTCAGCCTACAATGAAATAATGGAAAAGACTTATGACTGAGCTTTAGTTCACCGTCTACTCTCGATATTGACATGAGGAAGATCGTGGTATCAAATTTCACTATGTAATCCTTACATCCTAAGTACAAATCTCCGCGGTTGC